AAAACTAACAAATCTATTCTACAATAAAATATCCTTTGAAAGTCAGAAAAATAAAGAAAAAGACAGTGGGACGACCTTGACAGCTAGCAGAGGGCAAACTGAAAGACGGAGAGGGCTGTGTCTACCTGCTCGCTCAGGTTTCGCTGTTCAGCACAGATTTCTAGGACACAATTGCTGGTTTGTTTGGCCAACTCTTCCAGGAAGGAGTTGCAGTGGTGAAGGCCATGGTTTTTCAGATGAGGGTACTATGGGGAAAAGGGACAAAGGAAGAAAGGATCATCACCAGGGTCGACACCGCCTAACTTCTAATACGCTCCCAGAGGGAGAGGTCATATTCTGCATCAAGCTGAGACCCTTAGAGACTTGTGTCACATACTTATGTTTATTCTCTTTAGGGGATCAAAATCAACCCGGAAGCATGTGTTTTCCATTTTGAGGAAGAAGCATGAAATATGATTAGAGAGATGACAGGGTTTGGAATGTTGGATACCTACTTCCTCTGGGCACATCTCATGAGTGCAGTGAACAAAATGTGCACAAATCAGGGGGAAGGCAATGGCAAAGCGCAGCATTGGAGGTTCTTCCAGTGTCATAGCAAACATCTTCTCAAACGTGCGGAGGTGAAAGCTGGAGAGAAAAGGGAAAGAGATTTAGAACTGTGTGGCACAGGAGCACACAGCGATTCTTTCAACAGATGTTTATTGATATCCATCATTCCCTCCTTGAATTCCCTTACTCTAAGGGAGGAGGAAAGCCTAACTCTTTACTAACTCATTCTCAACCATGAACCCTAGGGCTTAATGATCATTTTCTCTTTCCTGGCACAAAACGTGTCATTCCTTCCTCAGAATCTTTACATGACTTGGATCATTTCCCCTCGCTTAGAACCCCTTGAGTACTGCTAACTCTTATCTTTCCAAAATTCGACACTGCAACTCCAGAAAATCTTCTCAAGTTAATTCGATATGATGACTCTTTCCTCCGTCGTCTATCCTCTCAACACTTGCACCCATTCTACAACTTTTACACTTTCACTCATATTGATATCCTCTTCACAGGTGGTTGTTCTATCTATCCCCACCTGTATTGAATAATGAGTCCTGGGTGATAAAAATGATTAATGGGCTAGCCTACTGTCCACAATGTTGGCAGTTTGAGTCTACCCAGAGGTACCCCAGAAGAAACACCTGGTGATTTATTTATAAAAATTCGGCATTTGAAAACCCTGTGTAGTAAAATTCTACTCTTACACACAGCAACTTTTTCAGGTTTTGTTTGTTTGGTTGTTTTTTTCCAGAGAAGGAGAAGAGATGTAATTGAATACAAAAGCACAGACAACAAACATATTAGGTTTTTTGATCTCCTGATGGGTAAAGTTATGCACAACAGTGGCCACCCAATACATTCTGTTGAGTGCTACCTAAGGAAGACTGCCTAATTTTTATTCTCCAAAGACCTTTTCTCCATCTCTCTTAACTATTTCTCATTCTCTCTACTACATCTCTGTGTTTTCCATGTAAGTCACAATGTCCCAAGGGTAAAATAAAGGTCTCAAAACTAACAGTGAAGAAGATACATGATTAGAAAAAGACATCCCTCTCCCCTGCACGTGCACACACAAACACACATCTCAATAGCCTCCAGTGGCCCCAAGCAGATACTGAAGTGGGCCAGCTGCTCACTGCAGAGCTCTCACTGCCCAGAGGAGCACTCCATCCAAGCAACACTTTCTTCTCTTTTTTTTTTTTCGTTGGGCGGGGTGGGGGGGCTCCCTATAGGAGAACTTGCCCTTGCCCTTAGGGAAAAAGCTTGACGTTACATTTATGGACACTCCCCACCTCAAGGGGAGAATTCCCCTGTACTATATAGCTAATCATGCATTTTTAACCAAGTTTCTTTTCAACCCTTGGTGACCCGAGCCTCTTGGCTACCTGGACTTCAGAGTTTGTCTTCTTGACGTGTGCAGCATGCTACATGGGCCACATCAGAAGAATCTGAGTCGAAAAGTCCACTAAGTGAACCATACTTATCCTTAGACACACCCTTTGTCAATTAAAGGAACTGATGTACTCCTGGGCTTTCAAGCTGACATGTGCTAGTGAAACAGAAGAGAACTGCTGGCTCAAGGTCGTGGATCTGGAAGTCATTGGACTTCTGTTCAAACCTCTTGCTTAAGACAGCCATAATATTTGCCATTTTCATATTTTCTTAGCTTTTAAAGATCTATCTTAGTTTCGCACACATAGTTCTGCTGCATCAAATGAGTGGTACTAAATTTTGTCCTATGTCTAACCCTCATTGTTTTCTTAAAAGAGATACAGTCACTTCAGCTATTTAATATGTATAAATGAACATTTCATGTATTTTAGTCGAAACAGCTTCCCATATATGAATATCTCCCTTATCTCAATAGTATTTTAAATCTATACCATTTGCTAGCTTAATGAAATTATTATGAAAATTACCAAAGGCCCCATGGAAATTATTTATATTATCTCTCAAAAAGTTGATAATGCTGCCACTAAAGTGAATACATAAAGCTTTATGAATGGATTTAGAGCTCTTGCTTAGTCATAATCCTTAACCTAGTAATAATCAGTTCTTACAATGTGGCCTTCTTCAATACTTACCTTCATGAAGGGATCACTGAAGATATAGGTGCAAAGTGTGTTGAAGAAAGCAGATGGTACCCTGCTATCAGAGAAAAAATAGTACCTGAGGTCTCAAAAGCTTGTCTTAAAACAAGCAACCATCGAAGTGAGGTGTCAGCTATGCCCACATGGACGAAGCACACTAGCCTGTGTAATCCAAGGATTGTATATAATAAAATCCAAGATCAGAGGAGTGAATTGCATTAGAGATTAAATTCTAAGTACCCAATTTGCAGAAGGATATGGATGAGGGTGAAATCACAAAAACCATTTGCAGAGTCCTCACAGTGATTAATCCTCCAATGAATTCCCTCAGACCGTTGGCCAGGGATGGGAATACCCTTTCTCTCAGAGAGAGTGCATCAGAAAGAGAATTGATGCGGATGTGGTGGTGGTGATAGTGGTGGTCATGGTGGTGGTAGTGGTGGTGGGATGCATCAAGTCAGTTCGGATTCATCGTGACCCCATGGACAACAGAATAAAAATTGCCAGCCCTGTACCATCCTCACAATTGTTGCTATGTTTGAGCCCATTGTTGCAATCACTGCGTCAACCCATCTCCTTGAGTACCTTCTTCTTTTTTGCTGCCTTTATACTTTACCAAGCATGATGACCTCATACAGGGACTGGTCTCTCCTGATGACATGTCCAAAGTACATGAGACAAAGTCTCGCCAGCCTTGCCTCTAAGGAGTATTTTAGCTGTACTTCTTCCAAGACAGATTTGTTTGTTCTTTTACCTGTCTATGGTACTTTCAATATTCTTTGCCATCACCATAATCAAAATGCATAGATTCTTCTGTGGTCTTGCATAGTCAATGTCCAACTTTCACATGCATATGAGGTGACTGAAAACACTATGGCTGGCACCAGGCGCACCTTAGTCCTCAAAATAACATCCTTGTTTTTCAACGCTTTAAAGAGGTCTTGCGCAGATCAATCCAACATAATGTATTCTTTGATTTCTTGACTGCTGCCTCCATGAACATTGATTGTGGATCCAGTAAGATGATATCCTTGACAACTACAATCTTTTCTTCGCTTATATACTATTACTACCCATTGCCATTGAGCCAATGCCAATTCATAGTGACAAGGCAGAACTGTCCCTGAGTGTTTAGGGGACACACATTTCTTATGGGCCTAGAAAAGCTCAGCTTTCTCCAGTTGGAGCAGCTGGTAGTTTCCGACTTCAGATCTCGGGGACAGTAGCCCAAGGTGTGGCTACTACACCACCAGAGCGCCTTTCGTGGAGAGAGTTAGGTTAAATGTTAATTTAACATCATTTGTTTTCCCTTTCAAACCATTTTTAGTTTTTTATTGTCTTCTGTTTCTTTTAGATTGGGGTTTTTCTGTGTTCTATTTTGTTATTGTTGTGAAAGGGTTTTTTTCGGTTTGGAGATTTCCTGTATGAATCCCTGTATATGAAATCCAAGATAGGTAAATCCATGTAGGCACTAACTAGATTAAAAGTTTATTATGGTTATGGGGCAAGGAAGATTGGAGGGAGATGGGAGCTAATAATAATGAGTACAAAAGTGAAAAAAAGTTCTAATATTATATTGATGATTACACACTATTTTTACTGTAATCAAACTACTGAATTGTATGGTACATGAATTACATAGCAATAAAACTGGGGTTTTTTAAAGCAAAAAAAAAAAAACACCAAACAGTTTAATTTAAATTATCCCAGAGAAGGAAAGGTTGTGTAAAGTCTAAATGGCTTTACCAAAGAGGATGACTATAAAACAAAAGGAAATCAACTTCAAATTCCTGTCCCTTAAGATTATTAGTAGAAACTGAATGAGTAAGTAGTGCAGTGTGAGCATGTGCCTTTAAGGAGATCTCAAAGAAGAAAATACTTTTCCATCTGTCTAAGGGAATTACAATCCCCCACAGAAGCTGAGCTGGAGATAAAGTGAATTTACAAAGAGTCCTGAACCCAGACATACCAGAAGGTAGACAGGTCAGAAGTTTCCACCAGCATTTTCTCTACTGAGTCCAGCATTTGAGAATGAAAGACAATGAGGTTCATCACCTTGGCTAAGTCAGGATTCTCATGCAGGTGCAGAGGGGCCTTTGCCACACTGGTATATGCCTGTGGATGAAATTGGGTGAAGAGTAGAGAAAAATAAGAGAAACGAGAAAGGATCCCACCCTTGGAGCTACAGCTTGGCCTTGAGATATTTACCCTTTCCAGTGAGCAGATTATCAGGGTTGAGTTTCTCCATACAGCAAAGTGTAGGAAATAAAATTAGAAGGGATTGTGAGGGAGAAAAATAATGTAAGGATAGGGGACAATTATCATCAGTAGACAATTACCTGTAGGCGGAACCAATCCAGCCTCAAACCCAAGAATTCAAATTTCTCTTCGGTATCAACTGCAACAAAAATAGAAATTCAAAAACAAACAGTAAAACAGTACCCTAACATCCAGATTGTATAGAATGGCTAAAGTTCTTCCAAGTCATCTTTTTTTATATCCGGGCTCAAGAGAGAAATCTTTCTAGAGAAAAGATGTTCACACTCATATGTGCTCCACACACACACACACACACACACACACACACACACACCCTCATGTCCCTCCAGTTACCTTGTTTGAGATTCAGAGAGGAGAGAGTGCTGACGAATGAGGACATGATAATGGATTCCTCCTCGGGACACACTGACAAATTCTGAAAGAAAATTTGAGTAGGTCGAGTAGTCACAGGTCCTACTAGTAGAGAAAATAAGACCAAAGGCTCGGTCAGTATGTATAAGGTAGAGGAATTGGCAAGTGATATAAACAGAAAAAAAATGCTAAGAGGAATTTTCCTGGATTCCCTGCCACACTAATGGCCTGTTTCTTTTTCATTTTCTGTCCTGTTTCTATGTAGCATTTCTCACAGGGGTGGGAGGTGGGGGATAAAGACTATTGAGATGATCAGTCCTTTTAAGTATACGCATCCGTACATAGTTTTAAAAACCCTGCCCTCTGCCACTGAGAGGCATTCTGATTCGTGGTCTCTGGGGCAGAGCAGAACTACCCGACAAGGCTTCCAAGACTATAAATCTTCACAGAGCAAACTGTCCTCTTTCTCCCACAGAGCAACTGGTGGGTTCACCCTACAGACCTACTACTTAGCCACTATGCCAGGGCTCATATATGTACATACAGAGGGACAACTCAAGGTTTCTGATACGCAGTCTACAGAACATGAGATTCATAGAGCATTTCTCTAAGAGGAAAATGAACAAGGATCAGCCTGAAATTTCCAAGACAGTCAATTAACCATACCTGTATAATGTCACTGAGCACAAGTGCATCAAATCTGGCCAAGTACTGGCAGTGATAGTGTTGTATCACTTTGATGTGTCTTCGGACCAGAGCTCTGATCTCCTCCAACAAGAAGAGCAGTTCTGCAAGGCTTCTACAGAAGAGTGGATAAGACCAGAGAGGAATGAGACTAGAAATGTGAATACAGTGATAACGAGGCAGGAATGAAGACTTCCTATAATTATTTGATCCCTTCCATACCCTTTCCCCGTGCCATCTAAGGTCAAGGTTCTTAACCATGTCAAATACTAACGAGTCAGCATAGTCCTCTGGTGTCTTTGTCTTGGTAACATTTTCTGCATGGCGAACCAGCCAGGTGACCTCATCACGAATGAAAGACAGGGCCATGAAAGCAAAAAGTGCCTAAGGAATATACAGAGACTATTAAGCTTTTCAGCTTAAAAAATAGATCCCAGAGCATAGAGAAAACTACTATATTAATAAAGGCATATGGACACAATTGTATAGCTAGACCATTAAGTGTCCAATAATGAACACGTACACACCAAAACAAAACAAACCTCAACATGTACCCAGAGTCAGACATGTCCACATGACAATATTAGCTCCCTGCCAGTACTCGCTCATAAAATCAATTTTAGAAATATTTACTGGGCATTTATGTGGGTCCACAATGGTATGCCACATAAATGCCCTATAAATTGCTCTCAAACATAAGCATAACTGTGAGGATGGTGAGGATGGTGTTTCGTTCTGTTATACAATAGGGTCACTCTGAGTCAGAGCGGACTCAACGGCACCTGACAAAAACAATAATGTTCAACAAGAGCTAAAATGAAAAAATTTAATTTTGTCTTCAATTAGTTTATACTCAGAAGATAAATGTACAAATAGTTGTAATACATGACATAGTATGATTAGTTCACCCAAAAGATATATAAAACTCTTTGCAGTGCTACAGGAAGATTCAAGGAATATATAAACACACACACACACACACACACAAATAGATCACAAAAGATTCAGAAATACAAAAACTCCTCTTCCCATACAGACTCTTATCCTTGGTCACCACTCTCCCTGTCCCTCAAGAGTTCTTTCTCTTGCCTTGGGCCCCAGTAGTCCTGGTTCATCTGTTAATACCATCTCCAGCTCCTTTGCTGCTACCCGCAGGAATTGCCGCCGTTGACAGTGAAACTGGCCACTGAGGAAGGAAGACAAAAACAGGAAAATATTGCCTTTCCCACCCTTGCATGCCCTTGCACTCAGGAAAGCTGCACTGAGATGGAGGTCTGAAGCAGAAGAGTGGTTCGATGTGAAAGTTAGATGTGGAGAAAGCACAGGGCTCTAAGGAGCAGCAGATGTTCCTGGATTGAGACAAAAAGGCTGTACAGAAACTGGGCATGGCTTAGGTGAGAACAAAGGTCAGGAGAGATCCCTATTCCATCGCATCCCCATCTTTACCTGTTGGCAATGACGTATTCTTTGCTTTCTTTTATGTCTGCCACTCGCTTGCCATACCTGAGGGATGACATAAGCACAGAACGGTTGGCCATAACACCCAATTAGGGGCCTTGCCCCCCCCCCCGGCACCCCACCCCCCCAGCCCTCAGAGATTCTGAGCAAAAGTCTGAGGGGAACATAGGTAGCCCTCACATAGGTAGCAGCACCTTTTCTAACCCTACCTTCCAACGTGGTCTATTAGTGAAAGACTCAACAAGCCTAGAGATCCATCGATTTTACCTTCTTTGGCAGAGAAGTAAAATAATCCCTAGGGAAGGAAAGTGGCCTGTCCAAGGTCCCATAAGGCTTTAGTGGCAAAGTTGGTGCTTGACTCCTTCACTTTTCACCCTATGCTTCAAGATTATCTTCAAGTGAAGATACTTTTCCAGGTCTGAGGACACTAAGATGGTACACACTCATCTCCCAACTCACAGCAGTTACTCCAGCTCTACCTTGGTTCATATTCCCACCCACCTCCTCTCAGGGATAACTTTATCAGCTATCCCTTAGTAGTTTCTTTAATCTTCCCCTCTCCAGGGCCTTTCTCTTCTACAAAACATGTCAACGCCGCCACCATTCTAAGTAGTTCCTCACTTGACCCTGACAATCTACTGAACTTTACCCATGCTCCCACATGATTAAATTCCTCCAAAGTGACACTTCCCTCTCACTTCGTCATCTCTCATTGACCCTTGACACTAAGTTAATTGGCCTTTTCATTGCTTTTGCTTTACCTGCAATATCTGACTCTAGTGACCCAATCTCTCGTTTCTTCTAGTCACACATGTTCAAGATGCCAGCATTAGCTGAAACTCCATGCTCTCTGTGTTCTTCACATCTCCCTTCTCCTGCCTGGCACCGCTGCAGTCACCGCCACAACAACACAATCTCTTATCTTCCCTTTTCCCAAGCCACTCTTTTATTGAATTTAGCACAGATTCAGAGAAATTTCAAAATGGAAATTATCTTAATTAAATCAGAATTCAACTCCACAGCAGTCTTGATGGATAATTATTTCAACCTCTCATGGCACAATGGAAAGAGTATAGATTAAGTGTCAAAAATCTCTGCGTGTATTAATCTGGTAGGTGTGGCTCTCTATTGTGAATGCATATTATTGGAAGATTTGCCCTATCACACACCCCCATTATTTGTGTAAATAGTGTCCAATCACTTGAGTTTAATCTGTACAAGTCAGCAATTCATGTATTACAATTCTTAGCTGGCCTAAACTCATATAATTTCCTTTCTTCAATAGTGTTTTAACTTCTGTACCATTGGCTAAACTATCAAAGTGTAGAGTATTTTCTCTGTAGAAAATATTCTAATGACACTATCAAAGCATAGTGGTTACTTGTTAAACTGCTGACTGTAAAGATAGCATTCAAAACCACTAGCCAGTTCCACAGGGGAAGGATGGGCTTTCTGATCCAGTCAAGATTTGCAGGCTCAGACATCAGGTAGATGGTTCTACCCTACCCTGTGGTATCCCTATGGGTCGGCATTTGCTTGGTAACAGTGGAAGTGATTCCCAAGGGGATGATTGATAATTTTCTCTAATATAAAAGGACAATCATGTCTCTAAGGTGAACTAGAGACATATATAAACCAAAGCTGTATAAATGGATTTGGGGCTTGCATTTAATTCTAGCCCAAATCAAAGGGCAATGAGTTCTTACGATATGGCCCTAATTGATGTTTGCCCTTATGAAAAGATCACTGAAGATATGGGTGCTATAGCAAAGTGTGAAATTAGAAGAAGTTAGATGGTGCCCAGCTATCAGAAATACTAGTGTCTGGAGTCTTAAAGGCTTTTTTTCAAACAAGCAGCCATCTAAGTGAGACATCAATAAGTCCACATAGAAGAAGCACACCAACCTGTATGATCCTAGGATTGTAAATGATATAACCCAAATCTAAATGAGGGAATGGCATCAGAGCTTAAATTGTGAACACTTGGTTTGCAGAAGGCTATGGATGGCAGTGAAAGCCCAAAATCCATTGGAAGTGGATTACTGAAGATGCAGTTAGGATAAAATGCAACACCTTATCATTTGATCTCTCTTCTGACCCATTTTAATTTGTTCTCTTTTAACATTTTCTACTTTCCTTTTAACTGAAGTTTATCTCTGTTTTACTTTGTTACTTGTGTTAGGTTTTTGTTTGTTTTTATTCTTTTGTATGTTTTTCTATATATGAAATCCAGACAGGTAAATCAGTAAGACAGTAAATGGATTAATGATTTCTTGGGGGTATGGCAGAGGAAGTTGCCAGAGAAATGGGAAGCTAATAACAATGAGTACAAAAAAGAAGAAAATATTCTAAAATTGATTGTGGTGATGATTGTACAACTCTTCTTAATATTATTAAACTTGAATTTTATGGTATGTGAATTATATGGCAAAAACTGTTTAAAGAGAGTCAGAATCTCTGGGATTGTTACATAATCCCACTGTTTATTCATTGAGTGACACCAAGACTAATTCTCTATTTTCTATTTTATAAAAATTAATGTTTATATCTGAGTTATCATGAATATCAAATTAGATTATTTCAATCTACTCCCTGCCATCAAGTAAATCTGACTCAGAGACCCTGTAGAACAGGGTAGAACTGTCCCTGTGGGTTTCCAAGACAGACTTTAACTCTTTTTTTTTTAAATATCACTTTATTGGGGGCTCTTACAGCTCTTATAACAATCCATACATCAATTGTATCAAGCATATTTGTACATATGTTGCCATCATAATTTTCTAAACATTTACTTTCTATTTGAGCCCTTGGTATCAGCTCCTCTTTTTTCTCTCCCTCCCCCCACTGTCATGACCCCTTGATAAATTATAAATTATTATTTTCATATTTTATACTGACCACTGTCTCCCTTCCCCTATGGTTTCTTTTGTTCTCCCCCGCCCCCCGAGGGGAAGGTATATGTCAATCATTGCAATGGGTCTCCCCTTCCTCCCCTCCTCTCCTCGCCTTCCCCCTGCCCTCCTGGTATCACTACTCCCATTCCTATTCCTGGATTCCATGTGAACAAACTTTAACTCCTTACAGGAGTATAAAGCCTTCTCTTTCTCCCTGAAGCAGCTGGTAGTTTTGAACTGATGATCTTGCAGTTAACAGCCCAAGGCATAACCACTACACCACCAGGGCTATTTGTTTTTATCAAAAGACTCCCTCAACTATAAATCAGACACCTTAATCGTTTTTCTTAGAGATGAGGAACTGAACTGCCTTCAAGCACCCAACTTTAGCTGAAACCAGACCTAACTCCTAACCACCATAGAGTAAAGGCCTAACACAATTAGTCTTCAGTGTCCATTTTAAATTCAACTAGTTCAAAATTTAATTCACAATCTTGCCCCTGCCTCCAACAAACTACTTTTCTTCACATGTTCTCTATCTTAAGGAATGCTAGATACTATGGAATGCTTGGCATCATCCTCAGTGTCTCCTGATTTACTTAGTTAATCCCTGCCTCTAGTTTTACCTATCTTACCGCTTCTCTTCTCCGCAGCAGAATGATTTTTTTTGAAAATGCACATATGACGGTGTCATTCTCTATTTAAAAGCACTCAGTGGCACTCTATCACTTTTAGAGAAGATTCAGACTCCTTGGTAAGGAATATAAGGCACCAGTTTATCTAACCAAACCCAGTTGCCTATGTGTCAGAATATATGTGTTTCTTGGAATTAGCCCAACTCTCTTTTGCTTAGAAACCTTGATAGTTTGTTTCTTAAGCTCCTTCCCTGCCGTTCCACCCTAAACACACATGTGTGCACGTGCGCGCGCGCACACACACACACACACACACACACTTCATCTGTTTAGCAATTGAGGTCTTCTTGTCTCCAAAAAACCTTTCTGCATTCTGCAAGGCTAGTTTCAGTGACCTTCTAAACGCTTCCTTGCCGCCTAATGTATACATCATAGTCCCTCCCTGTATTACAACTGCTTGTTTGTCTATTTGGAAACTCCTTAAGAGCAAAGATTCTTTGTTCCCTTCTTCAATATTCTATTTTTGTTTTAAAGTCTTTTGAATAAAATTTTCTCTTTACTATTTGAAAATATCAGTAACGATAAGGAGAAAAACAAACCAGTGAATTTCTGTCCTTTTTCTCTCTCTTTTTTTTAAATATTTATCATGGTTTGAGTGAAAATTTACAGAGTAAATTCGTTTCCACTCAACAATTTGTACACATTTTTTCCTCAAGACATTAGTCTAACCCCTCAATATAACAGCACTCTTCCCACCTCCTCCTGCATTCTCCATTTCTAGCTAGCCTCCTCTCCTGCCCCTCCGGCCGTCTGAACTTTGTTTGGGAGCAAATACTTCCCTTTTGGTCTATGCGGTTAGTTGTTCTGTATGTTTCTCAGAGGTGTTATTGTTCATTTCATAGGTCTATCTGTTAGTTGACAGGTTATTCCAGGGGTGGGTTCAGTTCCAGACTAAAAGGTGTCTTAAGGGACAGAGTCTCTGGGGTTCCATCAGTCTCTATCAGACTAGTAAGTTTTATCTTCCCTATGATTTTGAGTTTATTTTACATTTTTCTCCCACTCTGTCCAGAACTTTCCATTGTGATTGCAATCAGACAGGTCAGTAGTGGTAGCCATGCAGCACCATCTAGTTCTCCTGGTCGCAGGCTGCTAGAGACTGGCTCATCAAGACCATTAGTCCTGGTGATGGAGTGGTGATGCTGTAGGCTGCTAACCACAAGACCATTAGTCCTCTGGGGGGGGGGGTGTTTTTGTTGTTGCTGTTGTTGTTGTTGCTGTTATTTAGTTAACAATCACATAGCTCTCAGAATTTTCTATGTGTGTGGTAGTTACATAATTTCGTGTCAGCTTGAAGTATAGGAGTGGAGTCTAGCTTGTCAATCAGGTCGCAGCTTGATGACCTCATTTGGAGATGCCACTGAGATAAATGGCTCCCTGGAGGCAGGACATTCTCTCTGCCTTCACCTTCCTGCTGGTGTTGCCACCACCACTGGATCACCACCCACCGGCCTGTGATCTTCCTGCATTCTGCATCGTTACATGTGGCTGCATGAGTCTGAAGAGGGATTTATGGACTAGTATTGGACTTATGGAGTAGTCTCAGATTTATGGACTTGATCTGGACTGGGCTGAGATGTTTTCCTGATAAATTAAGCTTCTTAATATAAAGCTCTTTCTTACACACATATATGAATGTCTCTGTATTTGTTTCTCTAGTCAACCCGGCCTTACACAATGTGCTTTACAAAAAATTGTTCATTTCTCATACCTACCCGGTGAGGTAGGTACTAGTATTGCCTTCATTTTATAGATGGGGACATGAAGGCATGGCATGTTAATTACTTTGTCCAAGGTCACAGAGGTAATCAATAGTAGTTAGAATTCAAACCCAATTATGTTTCAGAGACCATGCTCCTAAGTCTTTTGCTTTCTTATCAGCTAATTAGTACCTGAAACCCAGTGAAGAATCTAGTAAATGGCAAGTGTTCAATACAGTACACTTACTCCTCCCTTATTCATTATCTCATTCTCACACATTTTGCATCTAAGATAATAGTAAAAAAAATCTACTATCCAACTATTTTGCACTATAACTACATCCATCTGGCATTAACAGAAGCAGATGTGCACGGTGAGAGTAGCTCTGGCTGTGATAAGTTGGGTTCTGTGCCAAGTTGACTAGGACATGATTCTCTGGTTTGGTAGTTATGTAATGATGTAACCTGGTAGTTATGTAATCCCCCATTTTGTGCTCTAGTGTGGCCTCCTCCACCCATAATGTTGATTTTTGCATAACAGCCTGGTCTTTGAAATCTAACCATGTTTCTAAGTGAGGAGTGGGTATATTTCTTCAATCATTAGAATTAATCCTTACTACCAGTACTCTGAGGGCCACTTGGAGACTGAAGAAGGATATGGGGAGGGGCTAAAAAATCCCCAAATAAGTTCCTGTTGGTGTTAATGTCTCTCACCCTTTCAAACTGCTAAACAGGTCCTCTGTGACCTTGTGCACTTGCAGCACATCTTCTCGGATGAGTGTGATGTACAGGGAGCCTTGAAGAGAGAGCTTCCACAGCTTCTGGCACTGGCTATTGGAGTTGAGGCAACCATGGCAAAGAAGAAACCCAACTGCAGGTGGGTAAAACAGTGCAGAGAAAGACTTTTAGAACCGCTTTCTCATGTAATGCTGCTACTTAATTTTTCCCCCATTTAATTCCACAAAACTTACTGATAATCCAGCGCTCCATCACATCCACAGACAAATACTCACAGGCCATCTGTTAGAGAGAGGAAGAAATAGTTGAGCCATTAGTTAATTTAGTGCTCCCCTAAAGGACAAAAGTCATAAGGGCAAAAAAACTAAAAAGGGCCATCAACCTAGAATCTGAGTACCCAAACCAACTATTATTTTATCAGTCTGGATTAGAGTATTTCAATATGCCAATAATGGAGGTGAGGCACTGGGAGTGGAGTGAAGGTAAGGAAATATTGTTGAGAAAGTTACAAAGAATCTTGGACTGGAAGTCAGAATTAGCAAAAGAGTCCACATAACTTTTCTTCAATGTTTCAGGTATTTTTAATAATAGGAAAGTACAGCTTTATGAAACTGTCTCGTGATTTCTCCAGTTTTTTTCGATTATTTTAGGTGCGTAAAGTGCTTGATTGCTAACTGAAAAATCACTAGTTTGAATCCACCAACCACACTGTGGAACTTTGCCTCCCTAAAGATTCCAGCCTTGGAAACTGAGTTAGTTAATTGTGCCAGCCTGGCCGATAATCACACGTGGGGCTAATTGAAAGGCGGAGGGATAAATGGGTGGTGAGCCTCACCTTTCTAGTTCTCAGGTCTCTTGTTTTGTGATGGTTGCACCAGGTGCAGCTGCCTTAGCAGTTCCCTGCTTCAGCTTGCAAGATTGACTTCCTATAAGACATCCCCAAGGAGAAGCTACATGGACCTATCCCGATGCAGCCCTGGGTGCTGGAGCAGCCGTGTGGAGACCCCTGCTAGTGCTGAGATGCTTGTTCGTTCACTGACTCAGCTTTCCTCCTGCAGTCGGCATCATTGCCTCTGTTTTGTGAGGTGGAGGGCTTTGTGGACTGGTGTTGGGTTGATGGGTTGATGTTGGACTTGTGGGCTTGGGCAGCATTGGGTTGGGATGTTTTTGTGATGCACATTTTCTTTACATAAAACTCTCTCTTATATATGAGTTGCTGTGGATTTGTTTCTCCAAAGTACCTAGACTAATACAGAAACCCTATGGTGCCATTCTACTATATCCTATGTCAGAATTGACTCAATGGCAATGGGTTTTGTTTGAAGTTTGTATTGGATTAGTTTACCACTTACAGTGCAAACCTCTCATTTGGTGCTTAGCACTCACGTTACAGCAACAGCTATATTTTATGACTGCCCATCCTCCCCAAACTATAAGTTCTTTGAAGGACAAACTATGAGCCATGGTAGTTGAACCAAAAATGTTGATTGACTCCTAAATTCACATTCTTACTGTGCTAAATAGGAGCTTAATGATATTGTTTCTCTACTATTTATTCATCTACAGATTCATTCTATGAATATTTACTAAATTCTATGGGCAAGCAAGCACATACTAATTGATCCCAATAAAAGTTCCAACTTAACCCTGACTTTTTAGCCAAAGTGATAATCAACTTAGAGGCAGATCCTAGAAGATACTTAAGGCATTTTTAGGGCTGGTGTTTCCTGAGAGACACACTCGCTACAGAGATAGCCTTGCAAAAGGAAATGTCCCCACTAACAAAAGGAAAGGGGAACTCACTGTTTCAGAACTGGCAGGGTTAATCATGGCTGGAGGATTGCTGGTGACACTTAGAAGCTGAGCACTACGCCACTGCTCAGCCCCCTGGTTCCTTCGGACAAAGAGGAAGTACAGAGAGAGCAGAGCCCCGCTCACAGCCTGTGGGGAAAAACAAATTAATCCGGAATGACACTGATAGGGACAATATGCTTTTGACTGAGGAAGTCTCAACTCTCTCCAGAAACTTGCCTTTGTGTGAGGCCCAAACTCCTCGGTCAGCTTTTTCAGAGGGTGGTCATACTCCAAGACCATCTGACCTAACCGTGCAAAACTGGGGTCACTAAGAGAAAGCAGAGAAAAAAGGAATTATAGGCCTCCCTTAACCAATCTCTAAAGTCAGCCAGGAGGATCCCAGGTAGAATGTTTCTCTAATCACAATGTAAACTCTCATACTTGCATATAGGATAAAGGTGTGTGCATAGGATGTAATCCCCACCACCTCCAAAGATAGACATATTAAATTGTGAATCGCATTCACAAATATCCCACTTCATATCTGGGCACACTAAACTATAGCTAGATAGAACCACATAATATTGGGCAGGTCCACAAAAGTTTATTCCTTATCAATAAGTACCCATATTAAGATTAGACACAGGTTAAGTACTCTATGAATTCTTATTAATTAGTTGCAAATTCAGTAATGCACCTAGATCCAAATCTGTAAATAACCCAAAAGATATTAAACAATCAACCTTAATAGCGAAGGCATGTATCTATGTGTCCACGTAGATGAAAAGGAGCACTTATGCACATGCAGAACAATATGCCACAGCCCACTCTGATCCCTCTGGTCGTTTGTTCAGCCCTTAAATACTTACATTTACACTAACAGAGGAAGACTTAGAAATCATCCAAAATCTATTTATATTAGGCTTCAAATGTATTATACATTACTTACCTCTACTGGCTTTATCTTATTAGTATTATTCCTACCAATACAAAAAAGAATTTTCTTTAATGTTGCAAGAACCTCAAAAGCAGAGTGAAAGCCAGACCAGGATTAAAAAATGATCAGACTCCATGCTAACTGGAGAATTGACTACAGCTTTTCAAGAGTCAATTATATGTAAAAGGACATATAATTGATATAAGCGCAGATTCAATGCCGCACAGTCTATTCTGACTCATAGCAACACCATAAGGCAGGATAGAACTGCCCCTGTGGATTTCCAAGACTGTAACTATGAGGGTAGAAAGCCTCATCTTTCTCCCTTGGAGCAGCTGGTGATTTCAAACTGCTGACCTTGGGGTTAGCAGCCCAATATATAACCACTACACCCTTTATATGCCCTTGTGAGTATTCTCAATGGTTTGTGTCATGTACATGGCAGATTCTCATATAAAAATAGACAGGATCTATTTCCTTTGAAGCCACTGACTTCCTATCTCAGCACCTACTACAGATAAGATCCTTCATATAATACATCCCCCCCCCCCTTGACTCACCTATGCCCATGCAGCATCTCATGGGCACAGTTGTACATGCCAATGAGTACCCGTCGATCCTCGATCCGTGACAGAAGTAAAATAACTGAGGTGTAAGTAACAATCAAGTCCAGGTAACTCCGAGTGAAGTCAAAATTGAGATTCTACAAGGAAAACACACAGGATCCAAAGAGCAGCACAGCCAATTAATCTGGATTTTCCTATTTCCACAACCATTCCAGACAATGCTACATAGATGTAGGAACTGACAGGACTTAAAATTTAAAAGAACTTTATAACAAAAGTAAAAATGTAGCATTTGGGGGTTGAGGGAGGTAGGGTAAGAAGATTTAAATATAATTTTTATTAAGTAAATCACATTACAAATTTTCTTAACCTGTAAATGCATTTTAATGTCTGCACTTTTACAAAGAAATTATAGTTCCAGGAATGAGCAAATGAAACAGCCACTCCTGCAGCCCCACGCTGTCCCAACTTAGACCTGGTTTTTTCTGTAGCTCTTGGGTAAAAGAGAAGTACAAAAAGCTTACAATATCAAAATGGCACTGGCAGGCATCAATGGTGTTGAGAAGTTCATATACATGATCCTGGAGGTAGAATTGGAGATGAGAATGAATAAATGACATATACACTTGGAATTAGAGGGCTCTTTCCACTAGAGATTTTAGCCACCCAGTAATGGAAGGGAAGCATTGTTAAATGGCAGGGTTTCATCCTCAGTAAAACTTTCATGGGCTCCTATCAAGGTACCTTACCCAAATGTCCACATTCCCACTGGCACAAGGCACTACTACTCACATGCTTGCACACTCTCCCTAAGCATACCATCCCTACTACTGTTTCCTCAACAAAAAGTTACCAAAAAGCTTGGAAAATGCGAAAGAAAACCAAACCCAGTTTTGTAGATGAATCCCAAACTAAGTCTGTTGTTGGTTTACTGTTCTGGGGAGTTAGTCACAGCTACAAATGTGAATTCTACTCATTGATCTACTATTATATGTTAAATACTTACTGATAACTTTAATGCACTTCATTTAACCAGTATTTGAATGTGATAGAATTTTCTTTTCATGCCAATTGTATGTCACTAAATCAGTTTCATTGTAGACTCTTCTCTCCCTTTCCCCCCCCACCAATCACACTCACCCTCCATCATCCTGCCCCTACTCCTTACGTAAGCCAGTTTAAGAATCTCATGTTCCCTTTCTCATTTTCTCCCTATTTACATAATTTATTGATATTGTTTTATCTTCTTCATAAATTCATATTTTGTTATTTATGTTATTAACACCTTAAAAGTGTTAAAACTGCACATTTGTTTTAGATATATACATATATTTCATCATAATAAAAATGTAAGTCTGTATGAATAAAAGAGCAAATTGTGGCCTAGTTGTTCGTTTACAAACCAGATCTGTTCCCAACTATGTCTTTAAGTCTTTCAGTGGAACTCACAAGGAAGTCAGAGCAGGTGCATATGTTTCCTATTTGGCCTTACTTTCCTCTAAGAAAGGGGCCCTGGTGCCTCAGCAGTTAGAAATAATTGGCTGGTTATAAATAATTAAAAGAAAAAGGCCAGTGGTTCGAACTCTCCAGCTGCTCTTGAGGAACAGCTGAGGCCGTCTGCTTCCATGAAGATTCACGGGCACAGAAGCTCTACGGAGCATCGACCCTGTGGAGCAGCAGGTCATGAGAAGTTAGAATCAACTCAATGGCAGCGGGTTTGGGTTTTTGCTTTTGCCTTTATTTTGGTTGTGATGCAAAAAAAGTCTTGAGACTTTTCAATGACTTAAAAGCTGCAGATTCTGACAGTGAAGGAGATTGTGAAGAAGCATTGGTCCAGAGTAGGGGTTGGTTCAATCGTTTCAAAATGAGGGCAAATGTACATAACATGAACAGGCAAGTACAAGCTGTCTACAAGTTAA